GCTCGTTCCGGGTGGACGTGCCAGAGACGGCGTGACCCCCACCCCCATCCCCTCCAGCTGGACTCCCACACACGTCCCCTTCTTGGACTGAAAGAACACATTTACACACAGATAGAGGACCAACCTCATAAAAAACTGGAGCTGGCTACAGCTTGTGTAAGCACTTGGACCTGGGCTGGTCAGCTGGACCTTGAGGAGGATGGTGTGTGTGTATGTGTGTGTGTGTGTGTGTGTGTGTGTGTGTGTGTGTGTGTGTGTGTGTGTGTGTGTGTTAACACAGCCTTACTGGGATGGGCCCAATTCTCAGCAGGACTGAGAAAAACCTCTGAACTATCATGATGGAGGAGCAAAGTGGAGAATAGTGGTTCTGCCATGTCCCAGTTAGTGTGTGCCTGTTTACAGCACTGATGTACAGAACCTAGAGCTGGACCAGGACCACATCCAGACCAGGACGGGGGTCCAAAGTAGACCTTCCAGGAGACACAACCCTTTAGATGTTCCACAGGCCAAAACTAAAAGGGAGAAACTTTGTGCTTTCATGGAGCAGCACTGTCGTGGTTCTGGTTCTGTGTGTGTGATCGGGTTCATCTGGTCCAGTCTTTTTTCAACTTTGTATGAACAGATTGTGTTGAAGTTATTAGATTATTTTTTTATTTTGTTATTTTCATTCTTCATCAACACACGAGGAGTCAGGCAGTATTTGGCTCCACTCGTCTCATCCTGAGCCGTCCAGTAGTTTCTATCGTGTCAGAGGTGTTTACTGTACTCTTCCAATCTAAATATAAAACTATATGAATCTATCTATATCTTCTTGTTCTGAAATTGTGCTATTTGTTGCTGGATTTTACGTTGCTAGTTTCACTCCAGAGCCAGTAAAGGGGGCTGGTGTTTCCCTGATTGGAGGCGGAGCTAAAACTCATCTTCTTATTGATATTTTATACTTTGTTTTTTCCAATTTTTGGCTAAAAATCTTGCCTATGAAAAAAGAGGAGATCATTTAGGTTGCGGTCGATGGTGAGTTGTGTCATAGTTCCACATTTAGGAGGGAGGGCAGCGTTTTACAGTAGGAGCCAGTATTTGTTTCTCACACATAACAAACACCAACAAGTCAACAATAAAAAAATAATGAATAAAGAATCATGTTCTCATCTCTGTTTGATGTGGCAGATTGAAAAATAAAAACAGGATTAGAGCTCAGATTTCATCAGCTAAAGCTGCTTTAGCCTGGAGCTACGAGATTTATTAGTAAACAAAGAGATCATGTGAGGAGACTAAATTCCCACCAGTGCCGTCTGGCGTCTTCGGTGCTCACTGGTCCCGACTGAGTTCTGCTTTAGGAACTTTGGTTTTACCGGTGAACAAGATAAATGCCTCCTGTTCCTCCGCTGCAGCATCAGCTAATCTGTGATCGGCACGGTGGCCTGCTGCAGATGATTGGATCACTCAGCAGGATTACTAAATCCTGGATTTACACAGCTAAACAAACATGATGAAACTTGGTCAAGCTCAGCTTTCATCTCCTACCCTGGATTAGTTTTGTTCTATTCCTGGGAAGAACCTCAGATTTCCTACAGTAGGTCCACGTTTTACCTCCTTCTGTCTGTTCGTGTCAGAGAAGATGTTTGTGTCCGTACCAACCAACCAACCAACCAACCAACCAACCAACCAACCAACCAACCAACCAACCAACCAACCAACCACCCATCCATCCACCTATCCATCCATCCGTCCATCCATCCGTCCATCAGTCCATCCATCCACCCACCCGTCCGTCCGTCCATCCATCCATCCATCCGTCCATCCATCCACCTATCCATCCATCCGTCCATCCATCCATCAGTCCATCCACCCATCTGGGCGACGGTGGCACAGGAGTTAAGTGCTCGCCCCGTAATCGGAAGGTTGCAGGTTCGAGCCCCGCTCAGTCTATCGCTGTCGTGTCCTTGGGCAAGACACTTAACCCACGTTGCCTGCTGGTGGTGGTTGGAGGGACCGGTGGCGCCAGTGCTCGGCAGCCTCGCCTTTGTCAGTGTGCCCCAAGGCAGCTGTGGCTACATCGTAGCTCATCACCACCAGTGTGTGAATGGGTGAATGACTGTGTTGTAAAGCGCCTTGGGGGGTTCCAGAACTCTAGAAGGTGCTATATCAAATACAGGCCATTTACCATATCCATCCATCCATCCATCCATCCGATGAAGCTCATTCAGCAGATGACTCCCCAGGTGAACACCAACCCCTCATTCCCACCTGATTGAGTTAACCATCTGTAATTAAACATTTTAGCTAATTAATGTGACCAGATGACTAAATTCACCATTAACGATTCATTAGTTTATTTCCAAGTGATTTATTATTAAGTAGCATTTTTATTAGATGGTAATCTTTATTATGAATAGTTATATTAGCTTATCTGGCTTTCATATGAAAGTTTAACCCTTGAAAGTTTTGGTAGAAGGTCTGAAGCACTCTGATGTGCTCTTGACTTATCTACTGGACGTGGTCAACCTTTATCAGATATATTTTATTATCAGCTGCATGTTCCAGAGCTTCATCAGACTGCTCTCAGCTGATCTGATCATAAAACTGACATTCAGAATTACTTATCCTAAAAGTTAACAAGATGACCTGAGGGAACCAGTCAAGATTGATCCAATCATCTGCATCCTCCCCCATTGTGTCCTCTGTCTGAGTAACACAACCCAGATTCTGTAATCCTCTCATTACTGTTTACAAGAGTGGCATAGATGCGAGAGATCTTGTGTGTTTTCATCGGTCTTAAGTGGATTTCCCAGATATAATCTAGAGATGGATTATAGTATTTATTTACAACTGAAGATCCACTAATAGCGAGGTAGATCTCAGACCCAAACACAGACTGATCCTTCAGTAACATGCTGAATATTCTGTAAAGCAGTCGAAAGCTTTGGAGTTAGAATCGTTTATTTGTAAATCAATTGGCAAGACGCTTCACAAACAGAATAATAAATAAATAACATTTAAAAAATGAAAAACGATGCAAGAGAGCCCAAAATAAACAGAATGGACAGAAATTTTAGCATGAAGAGGAGGTAGTGAGGAAGAGGAGGATGAAAAGAAGGTCACACCAAAGCATGAACAGGTGAGTATAAAGGAGACCACTGAGTCCATTGATCTCAGGCTCAGGGGGAGAGAGGTCCAGAGTCTGGGGGCCACAGCAGCAAATGATCTGTCACCTTTGGTCTTTAGCCTGGTGCTGCACAACCAGTAGGCTTTGATCACTGGACCTCAGGGACCTGCTGGGGGTGTAGGGACTGAGAAGATCACATATATATATGATGGTGCTTGTCCATGTAAGGCCCTATAGACCAGAACCAGGATCTTGAAATGAACCCTGAAGTTGACTGGCAGCCAGTGAAGCTGGAGGAGAAGTGGGGTGATGTGGGTGTGTTTGGAGGACTTGGTCAGAAGCCGAGCACAGGCGTTCTGAACCACCTGTAGACGGTTCAGGGAGGTTCTGCTCAGACACGTGAAAAGAGAGTTGCAGTAGTCTAAGCGTGAGGAGATGAAGGTGTGGAGAACTGTCTCAAGTTCAGAGCGGGACAGAATGGAACTCAGCTTAGCAATTCCTGAGATGGAAGAAGGAAGAGCGAACAAGAGAACTGACATGAGAACCCAGGGTGAGAGCCAGGTCAAAGGTCACACCAAGATTCCTGACAGAGGGTTTGGTGTGAGAAGCAAGCTGACCAAGAGAGTCTCTGACTTTGGGAACCGGCTTGTCTGGGGCACAGATGAGGATCTCAGTCTTATCTTCATTCAGCTGTAGAAAGCTCCCAGCCATCCAGGTTTTGATAGAGTCTAAGCAGGTGTGTAACAGCTGCAGCTTAGACATCTCATGGGGCTTAAAGGAGATGTACAGTTGGATGTCATCTGCATAAAGATGGTAGGATGTTCCTTTGATGCAGCTCAGGATGTGCTGAAGAGGAAGCAGATAGAGGAGGAAGAGCAGAGGCCCCAGCACAGAACCTTGTGGAACACCACAGGTAAGGGAGGTGGTGGAGGACCTGAACTTGAAGACGGCCACAGAGAAGGAGCGCTCAGACACATGAAAGGAGAACCACTCCAGAGGAGTTCCTGATAGGCCTACCCAGTCTCTCAGCCTCTTCAGTAGCAGGTGATGGTCAACAGTGGCACGTCACTGTGCATCACTGTGAGTCAGATGGTCATTAGGAGACGATTCTTGATCTAAAAAGAACTGCTTTAGTGGAGTGAGCTGAATGAAAACCTTATTGGAAACTGTCATAGATGTTATGTTCACCAAGAGAAGCTATGAGCTGTTTAGCCACAACCTTTTCCAAGATCTTGGAGAAGAGCAGACGTTTAGAGATGGGTCTGAAGCTGCAATGAGGAAGCTTAAAGATTGGGTGGATTACAGCATTCTTAAAATAGGCAGAGACGTGAGCAGCGCTGAAAAAAACAACAACATGAAAGTCTGATAATTGCTAAAGACATCTGACACCAGGCTAATTGTTGCCTCCAGAACTCCGTTCTGAAGTTAAAAATAGAACAAACAAGGTAAGGACCAATAATGAGGAGACATCAGTGCTGCTTCGCTCAGACTGAGAACAAAAGTTCAGTTTCATCATATCTTGTTCTTGTTAAATTAAAGCTTTTGTGTTTGACCTCCACTCAACACTAATCTCATAAACCAAAAGTGTTCAGCTCCACGTGCATTTATGAAGAGCAGCTTCAGATGAGAAGAACCAGAGAATAATAAAAGATAAATTAGAAAGAATAAAGAGAGCCTTGTAAATCCCCAAACGGAGGCTTGCACTGAGGTGGACGATAAAACAAAGAGTCTCCTCTCTCTTCCTACCGTCTTTGAGTCGCGGCGGGGTGGGGGGAGGACATAATTGTGATAGCAAGTCTCAAAGTCACTCACTTTACAAAAAGGCAATGAGGATTAAAAGTGGAGACTGAGCAGTTTCATGTCAAAGCGCTGCTCTGTTACAGATGACACTGGACACTCTGACAAAGAGTCCTTTCAACAAATCACCGCGTGAATTTGTCGCTGATCCTTATGCTTGGTCGGCCTGAAGGTTATGAATGTATGGGCTCTTCATCCGAGGAGAACAGAGCTCCACACTACTAATGTCAGAGTATAAGCTGTGGTAGAAGAAAGAGAAGGAAATGGCACCATACTGGGTCAGGACAGGAACCGGCTCAGCAAATTATACCTACAGAGTGTTTGAAGAACATCTGGGTCCCAGAGCTGCACCGACCCAAAGGTTCTAGCATCAGCCATGTAAACATCTAAGCTGCGACAAAATGTTAAAAAACAAAAACAAAACAAAGATAAACGTGTAAAGACAACTAGATCCACGGAAATGTTAAAGGTGCTGCCAGCGGTTCATCATAGTCACCGTGGTAACCTCCCAACATCCCAGTTGGGTCATAACAAAGACTTTAAAAATGGGACCCAATGCCTCCTCGCTTGATACCCAGCATCAAAGGGTTGGATTGGGGGGTTAAACCACCAAATGGTTCCCGAGTGCGGCTGTGTCTGCAGCTCACCGCTCCCCACGGGGATGGGTCAAATGTGGGGAACAAATTTCAAACACACACCAGTGTGTGTGACAACTAGTGGGACTTTACTCAACCGCCCTCACAGGAAGTCAGATTAAGAAGTAAGCTTCAGACCAAAAGATGCTCTGGGAGAAGACCATTGACCCTCTGGACAAACCCTGCGCACCCATATGAGAGAAGAGCTGAAGGGAAGCCTGGTGGGGGGCTCCCACCACTGCCAGATTACAGTTTACAGCTGATTGAC